TTCAGCAGCTCCATAGCAGCTATCCTGCCCTAATTATTAGAAAGCTGTTGCACCCACCCCCATGTTCGAGCTTCGCCACGTTGCTGGATGTGCTTCCGGTCACTCGGTCCCGATCTCACCGCTCTGCCGTGGACTCCCCACACTGCATTTCCGAGGGATCGTCGTCTCGTGCACGTGAGTGCTTTACATTGGAATCCCTGGGTCTGGGAAGGGCCCTGTTTGTGACACACCGGGTGCTGTCCCACTGCACTGAATGAGCCTCCTCATCACCAGCACCTAGTGTGACCAGTCTGTCATGTTTACTAACCCACCGCTTCTGGTCTTCATGGGCTGGGTGTCCACCTCCTCCGGGAAGCGCTCACCTCCCTGCAGTGGCCCCTCCAGGAAGGGCAGGGGCCATGCCTCGCTTGCCGAATATTGTACAATATTCACCAGCAGCACCTAAGTCTCAGCCACAGCCATGGCCTCCGCCTGCACCTGACCCTGTGCCCTGCCACAGACGCAGGGTATCTCGAAGAGATGGGTAGGCAGTTCTCGGCTTTTGAATTTAAAAAGCCAAGGGTTCAGTCATGGGAAGGGCATGGGGTCAGGGACAAGAGATTTCCGAGAAGAGGGGTCAGAAAGGATCAGAGAAAAGCTTTTGGCATTTGATCACAAGGCTGCCCAACTTCACTCTCTGGTCCTGCAAACCAACCCAGAGCCTTGACTGGCCTGGCCCCCGGGGAGGGCAACACTGAGGCCACCCAGAGCTGCTATGCTGGTAGGGCAGTGCAAATGCCTTTCCTCTGGTCAGAGTTGCCTGGGCTGCCCAAGCACCACCTGCCAGGCTCACAGGCTAATGGTCTGGACAGAGGCTAGTTTCAAGGAATGTTGCCAGATATGACGCAGGACCCAGCCCTGGGCAGAATGCTTCCTGGGGCATGGCCCCCCAGGAGCTCCAAAAGTGGAGTGGGTCTGTAGGAGACCTAGCCATGTCCCCAGGACCTGGTGGGCATAGAGTGACTTGCTGAGGACGTCTGGTCTGACACCCATCTCTGGGTGGACATCACCTCTGGGCATGGCTGCCATGCACCATTTCTCTGAACCCCCAACTCCGACTGGTCCTGGTGAGGAACTGGATGGGACAGGCAGGGGAGGCAGCAGGGTCCCGGGATGTACTGGGGGTATAGGGAAGGGGTGTTGCAGACGAAGCACTGTGAGTATGTGGGGGCAACAATGCCCCATGGAGAACCCTAGGTATAGCAAGAGGCAGCTTCTACTAGCAAAGGGGTCTGGGGTCAGGGTGGAGTTGCTCCCTGAACAGCAGAGGGGAAAGTGGCTATTTCTGCTTTGGAGCCGGGGGTGGCGGCCCTGGGGTAGAGAGTGGAAGAAAAGGAGTTCATAGTATTTGGAGTGTGGGAGCCGGGAAGAGGGCCTGGGCCTCAGAAAGAGCAGAGTGGGGCCAGATGGGGCTATATGACTGTAGGGAAGAGAGGGTGCCCCTGCCCTACTTGGCATTCAGATGGGAGTCTGGCTCCACCCCCTACTGAGCAGGGCTACTGGGCCCTGCTGTGGACACCAACCATGGGACAGGAATCACCTGCCTGGGTAGATTGCTGCAGGCCAGGTGGGAGCCCACAGAGGCCAATGAGGGAGCCATCAGTCCCTCCATTCGCCCATCACCTGCCAGCACCCCCAGCTGTGGGCCTGGGATGCTGGGGAGTGGCAGCTCTGGGGTTTTCCTGTGATGCAGGCCAGACCTCCTAGGAGCGTGCCTAGGGCCTGGGCACTGCCCGAAGGGCCTGTGGTGGTGGTCGCACGGTGAAAGCTTGGATGGGCGTGATGTCCAGGGCCGCGGGGCTGACACCGGGTGGAGGCAGCAGGCGGTACCTCTGGAGGAGGCTGGAGAACAGCAGGAACAGCTCTGTCCTGGCCATGCTCTCTCCGACACAGATGCGGTGGCCTACAAGGAAGCGAGGCACAGGGTGGGGTGCACCGGCCTGATCCTGGAGTGTGTGTGTGTGTGGGGTATGCCCAGCAGGGGAAGAGATGGAGGGGCAGGAGTAGCCGCTGCAGTTCCTAACGCCTGAGAGCAGGGGAAACTGGCCCCAGGCATCCTGGGGCAGGCACTCTGAGGTAGGCCGGGCTGCTCGCATGCCCCCTGACCTGTAGAGAAAGGGAGGAAGGCAGCCCGCCTCATGAAGCGCCCTTCTGCATCCAGGAAGTGGCCGGGGTTGAACTGGTCTGGGGTCTCCCACTGTGTCTTGTCCAGGAGCACGGAGGTCAGCAGGAGGAACACAGGCGTGCCCTGCAGTGGTGGGGAGAGGAGAGGGCCCGGTGGCGGGGCGTGCTCTGAGAACCAGGGGGTAGGGTACAGGGTCCCTTTCAGGGTTTCCTTGAGGATGCAACTCCTATACCACACACACACACACACACACACACACACACACACACACACACACGAGTGGCTGGGGGGGCGAGCGC